ATTTACATAGCCTTTGTCATATTCTGCTAATTTACTGATAGTTTCTTATGCTGCATTTTTAGACAGTTGGTCCTATTTAATTAATATTTTTTATTAGATAACTGAATTGCAATTTTGATTTAATTAATATTTATTATCAGAATGATATTTTAATGACCATTTTGCACTGATTGTTATTATTAATATATATATATATATATTTGCACATTATTAGTTTTTATTTTGTCTTCAAATTAGCACAAATAAAGAACTCAAGTTATCAGTTGATTTATGAAATTTGATGCGGAACCTCCTTAGTTCCAGATCCCCACCTGTTTTCATAAATTATATAATGATTATTTTCTCAGAGCTAAAAGTCTGACATAGTATGAATTTATTGATTATTAATGCATTATTTTCGTACCATTCTACCTATTGTTCTTCATGACAGCCATTAAATTGACTTGGTGTAAAGTATTCTCAGTCAATCTTATGCAAAATATATTTTTCATTCTATAGTGATATTGTATGTCCAATTATATGAATTCAACACAAATTAGTAAAAAGATTGCAATGTAGATGAATAGTATTAAAGTAAACCTTTCACAGGTTTAGGGAGAGCGAAGCTTGGCCATGTACAGCGCCGCATAGCGGTCTCGGTTAGCTTCTTCCTGTCCGGTTGTGTGTGCTGAACGCAACCCGTGTGCCTGCTCCATCCTCACGTTGCTCTCAGAGTGTCAGGCAGGTCGGGGAAATGAAGGTGACGGTGGACTTTGAGGAGTGTCTGAAGGACTCGCCCCGTTTTAGGAGTACCTCTTTGCAGAGTCCTTATTAGGAATTCAAGCATCCACCTAAGAGGAGGAAGAATTTTGCTCTGCACCCTTGAGGAAAGGAAAGGCCAGTCCACAGTGACCAGACCGTTTTCTTCTTGACCGAGGATCCATGAGCTTTTGATATATACTGCTTATATATATCCACCTTCTGGTGAGTGCGCATTTCTGCTACCTCCTCACGGATCACCATTGTGGATTTCCATTTGTCACCTGGCACGTTTATATGAACTGGACTTACAGTGGAAAATTTTCAGATCTATTACTTAGCGCTGCACTTTTATTTATATTAAACCTTTCACATACTTGGGCAATACAAACTGAGTTTTTGAGGAAACAGCATAAGCAGAGATTATTATGAGTGAAAACGACATGTCAGAACAATCCAGATAAAGACATACAGTAAGTTGAAATTGTAAGCAAATTAAAATGTTTCACATATACTTTGCATTGGTCATGCTTCCTGCCACCTACTCATTGGTTACTGAGACTGTACAACACCTTGGTACTTTGAACCAATGGGGAATCTAGGGAGTAGTGAAGAGGTAAAAGTATAAAAGCACCTTTCATTTTAAGGTAAGGAATATATAATTTGCCCGAGACATTTGTTTTCAAGATCCAATGAAAGACCTTAATATATCCAGGCCAAATATACAATTGACAGATTACACATGATTATTCTGAACATATTGAACAGAAACGTAGCAGTAACTGTGTTTGCAGTTCTAATGTTTTCTATATGATCCAAGATGTTATGTGAAATTAAATCTGGACATTTAAAAAAAATGTTGCAGGTATAAAGTGTAGGCACCTGCATACCTGTATCAGCCTCCAAACCATTTACAGCTGAATCTTGGGTAGTTTTCACAGACAAAGCTTTGGCTATTACTGATAGTGCCAAAGTATATCTGCCGTATCCTTTTTTTCTGCACATTATTATTGGCCAGAGAGACTCCTTTCATAATGATGGGCAAGAACGATTGTGGGAGGAGGGAGGCAACAGTACCTGTAAGTATTGGAGCCATGTTTCAGAACAGCCAGGAATTTGGCTGTAACAGCAGGGTGTTGGAGCCACTTTTTATCAGAGTCTCCTATACATTAATGTTCAGATCAGTTTCTTGCATTAAAATTCAGATTAGTCCTTTTGATTAAATTGGTCTTTTGACTTTATTAAATTGATCCAATTTTTTAGAATTTTGATAGACCCAGATACCTAATATATAAACCCCTTTACACTGTTACAGAAAAAGGATTGTCTTTGGTCTTCCAGTCATTTTTTAAGTCAGTGCTCCCAAGGATGAGCAATTTTTAAGACCCTTAGAAATTCTATGTTTGATTTCACTGCAGTTATTTCCAGAAAAAACTTGAAGAACTGAAAACAACTATATACACATAAATGTATGTAGCCAGCTAGGAGAATGGATAGGATATGGTGCAATGTTCCCTGAGAGGTACCTCTTAGCATAAGCAATAGGTGAAGGTCTCTGTAGCAGCTGTAAAGGGACAGCCTTTAGTCCTAACCTTTCAGCTGGCTAACATTGGGGCCCAGTTGTACCATTGGTGCACATGAGAATAGTCCCAGGTAAACCTGCAGGCAGCAATAAATATACTAAATGACTGTATGGTCAGTTTCTAAAGGGCTCAGTCTTTCTAGCAGCAGATAGCAAATCCCTACAACAGCAGCTCACCAGTACCAGTGATATTGCAGCTCACTATTCAGTCACACATAGCAATTAGTCCACTCTCTGCTCTGCACCCAGGTGACTCTGGCTGTCGGCACATGTGAACTCAGCACTCTGGAGCCTGCTCATCCTGTTATACAGTAACTAGTAGTGGTGCACAATCTGGACTCCCTCATGGCAAAAGGAAGCTGTGTCCTGTGCAGCCTACGAAAATGCAGCTCTTTTCCCTTCTCCTGGCAATTTGCCGCTGAGAACCTAAGTTTAAAGGTCAGGCAGTGCATTATTTTGTTACTATAGCAAAATACCACTGGATTTGTAGATTATTATTATTTATTATACAGTATTTATATAGCGCCAAAGGGTTTGCTCAGCGCTGTAAACCTGCAGGATTAACCACGTGCAAGACTGATTAGAGATGTGAAAAAATTGTTTTGTTTCAGATTAATTTAAGTTAATAGTTTTGTTTCTTCATATTAGTTATGTTAGAATGATTTGTTTTCGGAATTCATTTCATATATTTTCATTTATTTCATATATTTGTTATTTTCAAATACATTCAAAATTGGAAAAATTTTGAAATTCCGATTTCAGAAGATGGCTATATTCATTCTAATTGATTCTATTCTATTTTTTCCTTTTAATTATATTCTTTTATTTTCTATTCTATTCTGTTTTATTCTATTCCATTTGATTATATTCTATTCTATTCCTTTATTTTGTAATCTATTATGTTTTATTCTATTCCATTTTTTTTAAATCTATACTATTAATTAAAGCAGCCTAAGTAGGAATCATCATATTTCACTTTTATGCCTTACTGTATTTGTTGCAATATGTTTTCATTTCAAATTTGAATCAGCCCACTTGGCTTGTGAGTATAATTTATGTCTTCCTTTACTTGTAACAAAATGCTGAAAATAATGCACTAGGCGTTTGCACCCTCTCTATTTGTGTTTCTGGCAAAATGTTCAATAATACTGTGTCCTGACTTAATTACAGTATACAATGAAATAACCCATATACTATACTATTCTTAAAGATACAGTAAGTTGAGAAAACTTCAACATTGGAAAAAATGTTTCTTTCATTAGCTTTAACACCAAGGCACTTTATACTCTTTATAATCCCACAAGGCTTGACAACTAGGGATGAAGTTTGGGTTCACTGCTACCTTGGATTTAAGGGGAATGAGTTAGAAGAGCCAATTGGGTTTTTTTTTAGACTTGTCAGCCAGCTCACTATAAAGGAGTGGGTTTCCAGCAGTCATATTGACAAAGTGCTTTATTATTATTATTATTATTATTATTACTATTATTATTATTATTATTATTGGGCAGACAGTACTGTACAGTTACAATACAATTCAATACAGAGCAATCAGAGGGCCCTGCTCATAACAGCTTACAATTTAGCTGTGTTATGGAAAGCACATCTAGTGCTTCTAATAAAGTGCATAGAAAGAGATAAGCGTAGATCTTGTAGGCACTTACTTCTAGAATTTGTGTGTGTGTGGGGTTACCTTTTTCATTTTTTTAAAAAAAAATACATATTAAAGCTACTAATGCCCATGCAGCCTTTTTTTCAGATTGTCTCTGTAAACATGCACTAGCGGTAACAGGTTGCATGTGTTTTTTTCCTGATCTGGAGAAGGATGGGCACTCTATGGGTGTAGGACTCCACATTTAATTTTTACTTCTGGTTGTCCTTCCTTCTGGCTGTACTGTGGAAGCGTGGGCAACCTGTGTTTCCCTCCAGCAGTTATGCCTCCAGTTCCTTGACTATAATAAAAAATGTAAAAAAAGAGCCACTGATTGACTTGCTGGAAAAGGATTACGCTGTATGCCGCAAAACCAACACAGCAATAATAAAAAACTAAAAATAAACAAATTTAAACTGACATGAACATAAAAAAAAATCTACAAAAAAACAAGCAATAAATATAATAAAAGAAAAACCTATCTTGTCCTTTTTTGTTTGTTGGCTATTCAAGTGCTCACTCCTAAATGTACCCAATTAGTACCAAACACATATCTTAACCACTTGCCCTCCAGAGGATTTACCCCCCTTCCTGACCAGGACATTTTTTGCGTTACAGTGCTGTTACTTTAACTGACAATTGTGCGGTCATGCAACGCCACACCCAGATGAAATGTATGTTCTTTTTTCCCACAAATTGAGCTTTCTTTCGGTGGTATTTGATCGTCTGTGCATTTTCATTTTTTGTGCTATCAGCAAAAAAAGACAGACAATTTTGAGACAAAACAATATTTTGGACCTTTTGCTACCAAACATGTCCAGTGAAAAAATGTAAAAAATCAAATTACATCATAATTTTAGGCCAAAATGTATTCTGCTACATGTCTTTGCTAAAAAAAAAATCCCAATACGTGTAAATTAATTGGTTTACGTGAAAGCTATAGCGTTTACAAATGGCCGTATAGATACTGGGATTTTCTTTTTCTCTACTAGTAATGGCGGCTATCAGTAACTTTCAGCAGGACTGTGGCAGGCATTCTGACACTGGGGGGGAACTAACTTGGTGTCACTGACATCCCCAGTGACACCAATACAGTGATCAGTGCTAAAAAAAATAGCACTGACACTGATCTAATGACTGATCTAATGACACTGGGCAGGAAGGGGTTAATGTGAGGGGCGATCAAAGGGTTAACTGTGTGTAGGGAGTGATTTACTAGGGGTTGGGGAGTGTGTTCTTCACTGTAAGCACAGTGATTGGGATGGCTGTGCTGTGTCCCGAGCTGACAGGGAGGAAGACTGTAAACAAACAGTCTTCCTCCCCGTCAGTGATTGTCGGTAATCATCGGGTGCCGAAGGGTAATCCCCAGCTGGGACCTGGTGATTGACATCCGTGGCCATGAATGGCTGCGCAGGTAGGGTGCGCTTGCGGCTAGTGCGTGCCCCCTACCCGGAAATGCAAAGTCACGTATATATATATACATAATTTTGCGCACCCGTGCTGCTGTGTAGCAGTATATCTGCTATACAGTGGCGGGGAAGCGGTTAAAGTGTTACTAAACCCAGGACCCTGGGTCACTATATCTGGTCTCCCACAGTACACAGAACATGGAAATGTGATTATATTAGTAAATATAAACTGCCAAATCTTTTCTCATCAGCAGTATATAGCAGTCTTGTGACTTTCAGTGTCTGGCTGAGCACTGGTTAAAGCTTTTAGGAGGAGTTTTCATTCTGCTGTCCTATAAGGCTGTATAAATGTCTGAACAGTAGTTGGCCCTGTGCTGACCACATGCACCCTCCCAAAGAAAAATAAACGCTATAGCAATACACACTAAAATGAGCATGTGCAGAGTGACTCCTAGTATACTATCAGCAGATGGATTGGAGACAGTAGAAGAAGGGGAGGCTCAGAGAAAACAGGATTAAACAGCCTTTTGTACACAATGCGGAGGATTAACCCCCTTAGGTTCCACAGTGAGTATAACAAGCATGCTTTACTGCATATACAGACTGATTTTACTGTTGTGAGTTGAGTAACACTTTAAGTTTATAAATTGAAGTCTGAATATTTCGGAAATAGTTGGGGATGGGCGAGGGTGTGGTTACTTTATTACATTTTTAAGATAATGCTGTGTGTTACTGTGAAAAAAAAAGCTCATAAACAATACTGTTGAACTATTTTGCCACGGGCTATTTTTTTAGACATGGAAGGCTTTAGCTTTTTTAACCACTTCATGCCCGGACACTTTTACCCCCTTCCTGTCCAGGCCAATTTTTTTCAGACTTTGAATGACAATTGCGCGTTCATGCAACACTGTACCCATATGAATTTTTTAGCATTTTTTTGAGACAGATAAAACTTTATTTTGGTGGTATTTATTCAACACTGGGATTTTTATTTTTTTGCTATATAAATGAAAAAGTCCAAACATTTAGAAAAAAAGTGTTTTTCTTATAACATTTTGCAAATAAATAATCTTTCTTCACAAATCTTGGCCAAAATGTATTCAGTTATCTTTTTAGTAAAATAAAATAACCCAAATTAGTTTATAACCAAAAATTAAATTATTTTTTACATTTTTATATTATTATTTATGTTTTGTTTTTGTTTTTTAAATATTGTCACCCTAGCAGTACAGTGTCAACATTTTTACACTGATTGCTTTTACACCCATAAAGGCTGTAAAAGCAATCATATCTCCTTCTCTCTGGCTGCATTCTTGCAGCCATTGAGAACTACTGTGTGAGCTGTGATTGATCACAGCTTGTCACATGGTACAAGGCTGTTGTGAATAGCCTTGTACCATGTGATCTCTGTGATCATTCACAGATTTCACACATAGTAAGCAATGATGTCAGAAATGACATCTTGCTTACACCTATTCATGTGACAACTGATTGGCCAATCAGTGATCACATGATCGGGACCTCACACAGAGGTCCTGTACAATGATTGGGAGCTCCCAAGGAGCACGCACAGTCCAAAATGGCAACCCGCCCCTGCACTGCCACCATCCAGCCGTTTATATACCACGGCTGGACGGGAAGTGGTTAAGAGTAAACTTTTTTTTTTTGTAGATTTTAAATCTGTGGTGGCTGCTACTTTCGCCAATCAATTCAGCTTAATAAATAATTACTTAATGACAAAAGGGGGTTTATTTACTAAAGCTGGAGAGTCCAAAATCAGACTGCCTTCTGCATAGAAACCAATCAGCTTCTAACCGCAGTTTGTTCAATGAAGCTTTGGCAATGAAACCTGGAAGCTGATTGGTTTCTATGCAGAAGTGAGTCTGATTTTGCACTCTCCAGCTTTAGTAAATAAACCCCACGGTGTCACAGCCAAAACTACCTAAAAAGCCTTTTTCTCAAGTTGAAATGTATCTAATTTGCATGCTGTTACTGTATTTGAAGTAGTATTTCACTGAACATTTTTTTTCTTGGGGCCCCCAGGACGTGCTGTGCTATATTAGCACGTCATAGAAGAATTACCTATAAAATACAGCCCTCCGGTGCTGTGCTGTTACTTCTCCAGCTGGTCCCAGTCGCTTTCATCTCCATCTGATCTTCCTTCTGGGTTTATGCTTTTTGGGTGGGTACTGTCAATGTCGTCTGAACTGTGCATGCAAGGCTCAGATTACATTATCTTTGACAGGCCAGCAAAGATCACTAGGGTCTCTTTGTTCTAAAAACCCTGCTTGGTTTTGCAAATTTGATATTAATACCACTTTAAGCCAAGCAAAATGTAAAAGTAAAAATATTAAGTAAACATCCAATATATATAATGAAAGAATATAGTGTTTGTATTGTTCCCAGCACATAGTTTAATGGCATTTTGCAAACATGTCGTTTAATTGATTGGCGTTTCTTAAACATTACCCGTGAAATTGCATTAAAAGGATCCTCTCTCCGCTGTAAAGTACTTTTTATAACATTCCTTTTAACTGTGTTAAATGTTCCCTGCAGCAGCGCCCATCTCCCCATGCCCTTTATTTTACATTTGCTTGCCTATTCAGCCTTGAAAATAGCCAGAATCATAATTTGCAGATTTAAAGCAGAATTTAAAGAACCCACTTCAAATTGAACCTAGGAAGATTTGTTCATCGCTATTCATGACATAATAGTGAAAGATTGTATTTTAAATGGGATACGTAAGTCTATTCTGGGCCCTAGTCAACAAACGTATACATACTAAAAATAGATATGATCTGGGAATTTTAGGGAACTTCCATCTGTGACAAACTTTTGTGACAAAATTTGTGGAAAATTGCCCTTTATTTCATCTTGTGGCACTGCAAGATGACAAAAAAAAAAACAACTCAATAAATGGATAGGTGGAAAAAAAAACCTGTTCACTCCTTATTGCTTAAGACTTTGACTGTGTTGTAAACTTACAGTCATTGTCTCTCCACCCCAACCATTTTAATATAATGGCTGTTTGTGTAAAGCACTATGTATCATAACAAATTGGCATTATTTTTTTTATAAAATACAGTTTGACCTTTTTTTTTTATCCTTTCTTGCATACAGAAAGCACAGTGGCTAGATGGTTAGCACTTCCACGTGGCAGTACTAGGGTTATAGGTTTGAATCCCAACCATGGCACCACCTGCCTGGAGCTTGCATGTTCTCCCTGTGCCTGTATGGGTTTACTTAGGTTTCCTTCCACACTCCAAAGACATGCTGGTAGGTTAATTGGATCCTGTCTAAATTAGCCCTAGCATGTGTAAAGTGCTGTGTGAATTGACAGCGCTATATAAGTACCTGAAATAAATAAATATCAGTGCCGCTGATCTCCTGCAGACTGCTTGCATGAATGAGCATGAAAACAGGCAACACAGTGGCTAAATGGTTATCACTTCTGCCTGGCAGCACTAGGGTTGTTGGTTCGAATCACAACCACAGCACCACCTGCCTGGAGTTTGCATGTTCTCCCTGTACCTGTGTGGGTTTCCTCTTGGTAGTTCGGATTCCTCCCACACTCCAAAGACATGCTGGTAGGTTAATTGGATCCTATATAAATTGGCCCTAGTATGTGTATATATGAATGTAGATTAGGGACCTTAGATTGTACACCCCTTGAGGGTTAGGGACTGATGTGAATGTAATATATTGCTAAAGTAAATTAATGGTGCTATATAAGTACCTGAAATAAATAAATGAAAAAAAAACACGCTAGCACTCCATTGGATGTCAAAACAACATAGCAGCTAGCACGATACCATAATACAAAGTAAAATAAACTTCACAAAAGGCTCTTTGCATGCTCCACAGCAATGGCTGCATTGCATTGCTCTCAGAACAGTTTGCTTGATGGTAACTACAGTGGAACCCACTTGCATAATGTACATTGAAATGGCCACATAAAGTCTTCATTAGAAGCTTGTGTGATGGGGTGACACTGACAAAGCAGGAGCACAAATGGACAACAAGACTCAAGACCATAATTGTAACGGGAAGTGCCTAAACCAGGACCTGCATTGCAGAATCACTAGTGATTATTTCAAGGAAAGCTGAGGATTTAAAAATATTGAAAATTACTTTTGAAATTCAATTAACACATTAAAGCTTACAGTGGGGCAAAAAAAGTATTTAGTCAGCCACCAATTGTGCAAGTTCTCCTACTTAAAAATATGAGAGAGGCCTGTAATTGGCATCATAGGTAGACCTCAACTATGAGAGACAAAATGAAAAAAAAAATCCAGACAATCACATTGGCTGATTTGGAAAGAATTTATTTGCAAATTATGGTGGAAAATAAGTATTTGGTCAATATCAAAAGTTCATCTCAATACTTTGTTATATATCCTTTGTTGGCAATGACAGAGGTCAAACGTTTCCTGTAAGTCTTCACAAGGTTGGCACACACTGTTGCTGGTATGTTGGCCCATTCCTCCATGCAGATCTCCTCTAGAGCAGTGATGTTTTGGGGCTGTCGCTGGGCAACACGGACTTTCAACTCCCTCCAAAGGTTTTCTATGGGGTTGAGATCTGGAGACTGGCTAGGCCACTCCAGGACCTTGAAATGCTTCTTACGGAGCCACTCCTTCGTTGCCCGGGCGGTATGTTTGGGATCATTGTCATGTTGGAAGACCCA